ATGTGGGGGCGTGTTAGAACGAGCCGTTTTAGGGGGGCGTGGACGAGTCTTAACTTTTATAAAGAATATCTCTTTGGGTTTGAGACTTTAGTCTTTGCAACTTTAGGGATCTTATCTATTCACAAACAGCTTGCAACACTCCAAAGAGAAAGGAAAACTTGAAATCGTATCATATGACCCCTTTAAATGATGTCAGGACCAAAATAATCTCACATACCAGCATAAAATCGGATCCACACCACAGATTACTCTACGTTTAGACAGGAAGAGACAATGACCATGTAACTTTCTTCAGGGGTTTGCAGGTAATTCAAAACAGAGCAAAGTCAGCCAATCAGATTGGAGCAGTGAGATTTGTGTGTGGAATATGAATGTGGTGGTTTATGAACGGTCTGTAGGCGTGCCGTCTGAGACTACAGCCAACACACACTACCGCTGACTCTCAGAAAGGAAGATAAACCAAGCAAACATCCTCTCCTGACAAACGACGCCACTAACACACAGGATAAATGCTTTATCCAGAGAAGGTCTATATAGAAATGCATCAAATCACTTTCCAAGAAAACTCAGATTCCAACAATATGAGTGTAACTTGTTTACTGAAGAACAATATTACAGGACTTGCAGTGGACAATCTGCATTTTGATTCTGCAGACAGATATTCATATCAATCAATCAGTCTCAAGTCTCTCAAAAAGAGAACAATCGAACAATTAAAGCCACAAGAAATCATATCAAATGTTCCAATTAAAAATGAAATCTAAAGTTATATTACAAGCCAGACAAGCAGTGTCAAAAGCGAGCCGGTCTATCCCTGTGGGACAAATCCAGCCGATTTTCTTTCATCACAGACCAGAGATCTGTACCATATCATTAGGTCACTTCATTAGAGTTCAGAACTGAAGCAGAGCCCAAATAAAAGCCCTCAGAGGACAAAAAACTGAAACCCCGAGGCCTGTGTGTCCATCTACTGTAGCCCACAGCAGCCAGCGTCTCTCACTCGTGTAATCAATGATTGTAAAGAGATACACTTCATAGGTAATGTGATATATAGTATATAATAAAATTATTTGTTTATATTATATATACAGTATATAAATAAATCATATTATAATGATTTCTGAAGGATTAATGATGCTGAAAATTCAGCTTTGCATCACAGGAATAAAGTAGATTTTAAAGTATATTAAAATAGAATGCAATTATTTTAAAATGCAATAATTTTCATAATATTACAGTTTTTTCCCAGTATTTTTTATTTTTGAATGCAGCCTTAATGAGCATAAGAGACCTTTTTAAAAAAACATTAAATATCTCACTGATCCCAAACCTTTGAATGGCAACAGACACATTATTTATTATTTTATTATGCAAGTTACATATTTAATTATTAGGTACTATAAATAAAACTTTTTATTATAATATATTTTATATAATATCTTACATTTAAAGTGTAGATAAAACAAAATATTAAAAAAAATAATGTTTATATATCTACACACGTTCTCTCTCCATATATAGATTAGATATATAATCTAATTATTTTATACTATATAATCACATTATATACAAAGTATACAGATATAAATGGATTATTTTAGTATTCCTTGATTCAAACCAGCAATTGAGAATTCAACACAAACAACGTAACATTTTAATAACATACAGTTCATCCAAACAGTTTGAGCTCATTTGAGTCGTCTGCTTCACATGCGAAGGTGCAAAAACTCAAACCACAAGAACCGCAAGCTGTGATGTGTTGCTGGCTGTTAACCAACCCGTGAAAACAGGACACACTCGCCTTTGCTTTTATGCAAACGCTAGATCTCCTTTACTCACACCTGAACAAGAGGCTCAACTTTAACCAACTGACACCAAAACACCACAAACAAAGCACTTTCTGTGTTAAAATCAGCACTTGCAAACACTTGAAATATCCAGATTTCAGTTTCTGATCAGTTCATTCACAGGTACAGAAGTTGTTACATCTGTTTGCCCTGTGAACTTTCACCTATCATTTAAGTAACAAAAGAACCAGTTCACTTCACTTTAAAAAAGTTTAAAAAGTGAAACCAAAAGAAAAGTTCTAGATGTTTAGGTTTATGAAAATGATTTATGAACGATGTTTTATATAAAATATATATTTTATGAAACATGTTGAACTCTATACCTGCTAGAAAATCAAAGCCATAAATCTAAACAAGTTGTGTTCCAAATTTGAGATTGATATTTTAAAAAAATGAGCTTTCAGTAAGATTTTGTTTGGGCGCAGTACCAAATTTTCCCCATTAGATGCCAGCAAAACTCTGCTGGTGCACACAGTGGTTGGATTTGTGATTTGCAGTAGAGTTTTTCTCTCTCAAATATTACAAGAACACACAATTTTTTTTTTTTATGACACACATACAAACCACACTCTGACATCCATACCAACACACCCACACAATTATAGCTGCATTATTTTAATGCAATGGAAGTGAAATAGTAATGGAAGTGAAATAGTAAAATTCCAATAAAAATACACACCTGTGCTAAAAATTTATGCAGTTGGCAATAACAGGCAAAATTATCAAAAAAACAAAACTGGAAAGGACAAAAATTTTTTTTTATGACACACATACAAACCACATTCTGACATCCATACCAACACACCCACACAATTATAGCTGCATTATTTTAATGCAATGGAAGTGAAATAGTAAAATTCCAATAAAAATACACACCTGTGCCAAAATTTATGCAGTTGGCAATAACAGGCAAAATTATCAAAAAAACAAAACTGGAAAGGATAAAAATGTCCAAAAGGTCGCACAAGGGTTAAGTGACACTTAATATGTCTGAATGTCATTTATTAAATCTGTATCCGTGCATCTCAAATGCTGCAGGATCATTTCTTTTCTCTAGCTTCAGTTTTCTTCATTTTTGTATAAAGATGCATCAAGTCAGCTCTCCCCAAGTTCCCACAGGCGTCGAGAATCACATTCACTATCAGCATATTCAAGCAAATGTCTCATTTACAACACAGATTTATTGTTTTATCATTTTAAACCAAGTATTTCAAATGTTCTGACTGTATAGCGTTTATATTTTCAACAAATCGCTCTTACTTTTATATTCTAGATTCTAATGCATTGATATTCAGACATATTAATCGTGTCTGAAGTGTTTAAATACTTTCTGAATCAATGCACTTCTGTTGTAGTACTGAATAAATGATGCATAGAGCAGGATCTCCGGATCTCGGGCCTGTGTGCGGCGATCAGCCCTAAAGCAGCGACACAACGACAGAAACACGCTCGTGTGTTCGTTTAATCAGACCCGCGTTCATTTACAGCTTCTCTGAGCTCACAGCTTTAATACGAGACACTCAGAGCCCCCAGAGCCTCGCGCCGGCCCGCATCCGCGGCGTCTCTTACCGCTGTCACCCATGATCAACGCTCAAATACTTTCTGGAGTCCCTCAAATCAATACACTTCTGCTCTAGTCCTGAATAAATGATGCACAGAGAGAGCAGGATTGATGAGCAGCAGATCAGTCTGGATCTCCGGCCTGTGTGAGGCGATCAGCCCGATCCGCCGTAAAGCAGCGGCACAGCGACAGAAACACGCTCGTGTGTGCGTTAAACCAGACCTGCGTTCATTTACGTCCTCTCAGAGCTCACAGCTTTAATACGAGACACTCAAAGCCCCGCAGAGCCTCGCCCCGGCCCGCTTCCCGTCACGCATCCGCGGCGTCTCTTACCGCTGTCACCGATGATCAGCAGTTTGAAGAGGTGATCGTAGTCGCGGGCCATGCCGGCGGTGGGAGGCTCAAACCCCGCGCCTTCGCTGCAGCTTCGCGCCTCTCTCCAGCCGAACGCTTGGCTGGAACCCGTCTGACGTCCCGCTCGGATAAGAGCGGACAATTTCCCCCCGGTAGATGCCGAACGCAGCGGGCTTGTCGTCGGGGTTTGGCGTTGTGTGAAGCAGTCACTCGCTCATTACCGGAAACGGCGCTTCCTCCTGCTGCACAGAGCGGCGGATGACCAATCAGAGCGCGTCGACGCCACATGCCGTAACAGCCGTCAACAAGCCCGCGTCGCGATACAAAGGATCAAAGGCTGCATGTATTTGCTGCATATGGGTCAGATGGCGTCAAGTGCATTTAATTATTTAAAAAATCATAAAATAGGTCAAATTGGTTAGAAAAATGATAAAAGTTCTTTTTTATTTAATTAAATTTAAATTGAATGAAAGTGCGACGATGTAGTTTTTCCCTTTAAGAACTTTTTTTTTTAATATAATTTTATGCAGCAACAACAACAGCATAATAAGTAATAATAATACTTAATAACAATGCTTCACAACTTCAGTGTATATTATAATACAAGCTCTTAATCATTATTTTCGAAAAATTTAAGGGGGTCTGAATACTTTCCGTACCCACTGTATATATATACCTTTTTATTATGGAAACATGTTGACTGCTTTACAAAAAAATGACATGTTTTGGACACATCTAATAATACAGTATTTTTATTTTTTTTTAACTTTGCAAATACCATGATAACATGGCAATCATCAGTAGAATGTACTATACTGTTGACAGTATTACCATCTGATACCATCACTGTACCATGGTACCACCACAGTGCTTTTTAAAGCAAGGTCTCATTTTTTCTTAGTGCCAACAAAGAAATGTATTCATGACATCTCCGCAGTTTCTCAGTGAGAGCCAGAAAACTCTCTGCAACTTTCCAAAGCAGTCTGAACTTTGACAATCTGCCAGAAAACGGCAGATTTTATTCCCTCGGGATCAGCTGAAGATGAATTATGTTGCATATGAGCTCAGTAATGACACACAGACGGGTTTGCGATACACTAAATCTGCAGATGTGTCTGATCACTGCTGAAACCTTCAAACCTTTCAATAAAGATTTCAGATCTGTGGCTTTATGATGATGGAAACACCTTTGTTAGTGTAATAACCCTATTGTCTAATAATTCAAGATCTATCCATCTTATATTTGTAGCTCACAGATAAGTCTGATTTCAGAGCGGTAAACAATTCCAAAAAACAAGAACTAGTGAGTCTTTAACTTTATGTTGTTAAGCTGTTTTGTGTTCATCTGCTTCTCCCATTTGCTCTTTTTACATTGACTATCACTCTATTTAGACTAATACAATCAGACACAACAATCATTTCTCAAATATTTATTACAATACAGTATAAATTGAACATTCACTTCAATGGTAAGAGACTGGATGCTTTTACTGATTTCCAACTGAACTGTCACCAACTGAAATGCAGTGGTCAAACTAATTAAATATAGTGAAAGAAGCTACAAATTTGATCATATTGCACAATGTTTCCATCGAACATGTATTTTGAGGTGCAGCTAGTCATATTAATGTAGTGATTCACTAATAAACCAGTTACCTCACCAGAATATGTTCGCAGATGTTGGATGTTATCTTTGGAATGGAAATATTTATATTTTATTAGTAAACATCGTACTTTTTTCGTTTATTTCAAGTATTAATGTCATTAATACAAAAACTAGCGAGCTCCCAGTAGTAGTACTGACAGTGTCGTGTAAACATGGCTGAAGACTCGAAAAGCAGAGGAACAGACAAACCGATTCAATTGAGTCATTTACACTGGAACCACTCCAATTGATTCAAATTTGTGACTTCGATCATTTAGTTCAAGCGATTAACTAGCAAAAAATAAATAATTTTTTTTTTTAAAAAGCCATTCATTTTCAAATTTTGACAGTTTATAATGATTTTTAAAAGCACGGATGGATGAAACGGAAACGAAACTCAGAATCAGTTAAACTATTGCGTCGCAAAATGATTCACTGTTTCGAAGCACTCCAATCGGATCACATAATGGCAAATCATTTGATTCAGATTGGGACTTAAAATTGCGTATCGCGAATCATTTGATTTAGATCGGAACTTCGGAGCGGGTTTGCGAATCATTATTCAGTTTGGGACTACGGAGAGCAGATCGCAAATCATTTGGAACCTCGGAGCAGGTTCATGAATCTATTGATTCAGATCGGAACTTCGGAGCATGGATCACAAATAATTTGATTCAGATCGGGACTTCGATCGGAGCGGGTTCGCGAATCATTTGATTTAGATTGGAACTTCGGATCGCGGATTATTTGATTCAGATTGGGACTTCAGAGCGCATATCAAAAATCATTTGATTTAGATAGGAATTTAGGAGCGGGTTCGTGAATCTTCTGATTCAGATTGGCCTTTCGGAGCGCAGATCGCGAATCATTTGATTCAGATTGGGACTTAATCGGAGCGGGTTCGCAAATCATTTGATTTAGATCGGAACTTCGGAGCGGGTTTGCGAATCATTATTCAGTTTGGGACTACGGAGAGCAGATCGCAAATCATTTGGAACCTCGGAGCAGGTTCATGAATCTATTGATTCAGATCGGAACTTCGGAGCATGGATCACAAATAATTTGATTCAGATCGGGACTTCGATCGGAGCGGGTTCGCGAATCATTTGATTTAGATTGGAACTTCGGATCGCGGATCATTTGATTCAGATTGGGACTTCAGAGCGCGTATCGAATATAATTTGATTTAGATAGGAACTTCGGAGCGGGTTCGTGAATCTTTTGATTCAGATTGGCATTTCAGAGCGCAGATCGCGAATCATTTGATTCAGATTGGGACTTAATCGGAGCGGGTTCGCAAATCATTTGATTCAGATTGGGACTTCAGACTATCCTAAATCTTTAAAACCACAGTTTTACTACAAATACCATATGGTTAGTGTAGCAAAAACATTTACCATGGTTTAACTGTATTAACTATAGTTTCCAAAGTAGGACAATGCTTGTTATGATTTTCAAGGGTTTATAATTTAGTAGAGATGCTATGCCATGTCCCTACCAATATCCAGACTACTAGCAATAATTTTGATCAAACAATTAAATGTCTGTTGTCATGTCCCCACCAATGCCAAAATCAAACCTACGCACTTGGATTGAAGTATTTTTTGGGCTTCAAAATCTCGACCACCATTCATTGGCATTAAAAAGCTTGGAAGACCCAGGACATTTTTTAATATAACTCCGATTGCATTCTACACAAGCAATGCTTCAGTTATTTGAGTTGCAAAACCACAGACTAGATTCCTGGGTACACAATGTCTTAAACATGGGTGATTTCTCTTTCAAAATTATACTTCAGTGGAGTAATTACGAGTTTTCAGATCTTATAAAGATGCATGAAATGTTGAGCAGGAATTAAAACATAAAAACACAAACATAAATGTAATTTCTTTAAGTCAAACGGTTTATTAAATCAAGGTTTTCATTTTCTATTTATTCATACAACCATTATTATAGGACACAGCGCTAATTGGAAAAATCAGCATCACATCCTTTGGGTTGTTAATGGCTCACGCGTCTCAATTACAACAGCGAGAAACTGCTTACCATCCAAACAAAATATAAAAGGGCATCAGAACATCAATGTTTGAAAAGAATTGGCACAAATTAATACTTCATCTTTCAGAAGAAAACCAAATGAAAAATATACATTTACAAATTAATAGCCAATTAAGGACAATGCAGATTTTAGATGATGATTTTAGGGGCTCAGCACAATAAATACTTTCCCAGGCTTTCCTTGTGGCGTAAATGACACGAGTCAAAGCTAGCGTGAGGAGAGTGTGTGTGTGTGTGTGTGTGAGACTGACAGATGCAGGATCTCTGAGAACAGCAGCGGCTACAGGACTGGATTCAGAGCAGCTGAAGCTGTCCATCATGTCAGGATGGTGTCATCGATCTCTTCGTTGGAGTCGGGAAGGCTGGAGATCTTCTTCAGGGATCTGCGGTAACATTCTGACAGCAGCTCATTACTGGCCGTGTCCAGGATTGCATTGATGCTCTGAAACGAATTTACACATGCAGACGTTATTCCAAGTGCTGTGTCATGATTGGTTAGGGGACGTATTGTTTAAGAGGTGACTTTTAAGGCGTTTTTCGATCACTGGTTTGTTTTTATGGTATGGAAAAAGCTGTGGATATTCTGCACAACATCATCTTTTGTTTTCCAAACTGAAAACAAAAAAACAGTTTTCACTCAGAAATTGCTAGTAAGTTTCACAAATAATTACAAAGTGGCAAGTAACATTAAATGTGAAATTCTGAAGTAGAAAGACTGAAATACTATTTTCTTGTAAAACATACTTCAATAACACATTACAAGTAACGCTAGTTATGTAATCAGATTACTTTCCCCAAGTAACTAGTAAAGTAACACATTACTTTTAAATTGACAATGAAATATCCGAGTTACTTTTTCAAATAATTAATGCCAGTTACTTTGTTTTCCTATTTATTCACTGATACCTCTTCCCTGTGGCCTGTTCCCATGTTGAGAAAAATCTGGAGTGAGGTTCAGAGGCACTTCCTTTAGCCTGAGGCTCATTCAGTTCACTTTTGGTGTCAAAAGGCCTTTACATTTTCCAGTTTTTGTTATTAAAAAATAAATAAGCAAGCCCAGTTCAGGTGAAAAAAGTAATGCAAAAGTAACAATGCATTATTTTCCATAAAAAGTTGCACAATTAGTTACTGTTTTAAGGAGTAATGCAATGTTGTAATGCATTACTTTACCCAACACTTTCAATAAAACCATCCTTCATTAGAAGCTATGTCCATCCACATATTTTATGCAAATTGAGATTACATAAAAATGCTGGATGGAAACGGCAAGATGTGCATAAAATCTTAAAATGCGCATGAAAACGTGTGCGCTCAACTGAGTCGGATATATTTTTTATCTGACAAGAAAACGTGCATATGCATAAACAAAATGTGAAAATTTTGCACAAAAAACTACGATGGAAACAATGAATAAATTCCTCAATGCGCAGCAAAAAAACTGCTGTGACTTTGCCTCAACTGACCTATGACTGGATAACTGGACTAACCAGTGCACTGATCTTATCACAAACCATACATATATACAGTATGTATGTAATATTAGTTTTTTGTTTTTTTTTGCAAATCAGTTTTTTTCCCCCCAAGATACAGGCCTGCATTATCTTTAATTACAAAAAATAGACTTTTTACATACATTTAGATAATTTAAAGAAAAAAATGATTACAAACATCATTTTTTACGGTGCATGGAAGGCAACATCGTGTGAGGACTGACCTGCATGCCGTCTTCTCCCTGGCGCAGCCGCAGCAGGCTGACGAGCGTGTGTTCGCTCTGCGCTCGGACGCTGGTGTTCTTGTCCTTGGTGTTGTCCAGCAGGGCTTTGATGACCGGTTTGACCAGACTGGGCTCCAGAGCGGGAGTCTCCGCCTCCTTACACACCCACCACAGCATGCGCTCCGTCACCAGACGAATGTCACTCGACTGGTTCTGCAGACACTGTGGGAGGAGCCACGGCAGACAGCGAATTCAGCATCTCTGATGTGTGTCCGTCCAACTAACGTGTTTGAGTTTGTTCGCAATGTGTACAAAAAACATCTTGTGGAATATGTATGGAATATAACCAGATAGGGATGTATGATAAATCAATTTATCGAAAAACATTAAGTCCATGATATTGACAAGTTTTTTATTTTTATTTTAAACAAATAATTTTCAATATTTTGTAGAAATTATGGTAGAAATATATTACTATTGTAAAGTAAATGTAATTCTCAAAGTAATAATAATAATAAAAACATGACATTGATTTACTATTTTTAGTATTAAGGAATTATATAACCAAGATATTTTTATTCATGTATTAATTTATACACTATACAACTTTTCTTGTGCAGCACCTCATTTGACAAGAAAAATAAAAATTGCTATATTTACATTTGATTACATTTTAAAATAGGGATGCACCGAATGTTCGGCAACCGAAATTATTCGGCCGAAAATAGCAAAAAAAGCTCTTAAGCGAATAAGCGAAAAGACAGAATAAATTGTACCGAACAATGATATGACGCGATCAAATAGCAACCAGCGCAGAGTGAGAGGCGTGCACTCTTTATTATGCAGCACACACGTCAGCAGTGTGGAAGCATTTAAACTGTCGGAGAAAGATGCAAAAATCATTACAAGCACCG